TTAAAACGACACCCCCAAGTCACACTCATTCATGGTCGTGAAAAGATTCTTAACATACAAAATATATTGGTAAATAGTTTACGTTATTGCCAAGGGAAATAGCGATAAACCTTCCGAAAAAAGCCAACCAGTCCGTTAGACCTGTCAACAAACCAAGTAGCGGCAATTATAAAATTATAAAATTTCACAGATCGTAATTCGTGTGTGATAAAAATACATATTTAATATGTTGTCAATAATGGCGAGCTAGAAACGTGATGTACCGGGGGTAGATATCGGGGTTTGATACCTGGATTTGATACCGATGGTAGATATCATGGTTTGAGACCTGGATTTGATACCGGGGGTAGGTATCGGGGTTTGATACCTCGATTTGATAACGGGGGTAGATATCGGGGTTTGATACCTGGATTTGATAACAGGGGTAGATCTCGGGGTTTGATACCTGGATTTGATGCCGGGGGGACATATCGGGGTTTGATACCTCGATTTGATAACGGGGGTAAATATCGGGGTTTGATACCTCGATTTGATACCGGGGGCAGATATCGAGGTTTGATACCTGAATTTGATACCAGGGGGAGAAATCGTGGTTTGATATCTGGATTTGATACCGAGGGTACATATCGGGGTTTGATACCTCGATTTGATACCGGGGGCAGATATCGGGGTTTTATACCTGTATTGATACCGGGGGTAGATATCGGGGTTTGATATTGGAATTTGATATCTGTTTTTTTATCCCGGATTTGAAACTTGGGATTGATACCTGGATATGTGACCTTGATGTATGGGCTTGATACTTTGATACTTCTTTTCATAGCCCAGGTTTGATACCTGTGTCACATAACCGAGTTAGATACCCGAGTTTGATACCTGTGTCACATACTCGAATTAGATACCCGGGTATGATACCCGTATGCCACATAACTGAGTTAGATACCCTGGTTTGATAACTGTGTCACATAACAGGATTAAATATCCGGGTTTAATACCTCTGTATCACACAACCGAGGTTGATACCTGTGTGCCTTATAACCGAGTTAGATACCCAGGTTTGATACATCTGTGCCTCATAACCGAGTTAGATACCCGTGTTTGTTACATGTGTAACACAACCGAGTTAGATACCCAGATTTGATACATCTGTGCCTCATAACCGAGTTAGATACCCGTGTTTGTTACATGTGTAACACAACCGAGTTAGATGCCCGGGTTTGATACATCTGTGTCACATTACCGAGTTAGATACCCGTGTTTGTTACATGTGTAACACAACCGAGTTAGATACCCTGGTTTGATACATCTGTGCCTCATAACCTAGTTAGATACCCGTGTTTGTTACATGTGTAACACAACCGAGTTAGATACCCTGGTTTGATACATCTGTGCCTCATAACCGAGTTAGATACCCGTGTTTGTTACATGTGTAACACAACCGAGTTAGATACCCTGGTTTGATACATCTGTGTCACATTACCGAGTTAGATACCCGTGTTTGTTACATGTGTAACACAACCGAGTTAGATACCCTGGTTTGATACATCTGTGCCTCATAACCGAGTTAGATACCCGTGTTTGTTACATGTGTAACACAACCGAGTTAGATGCCCGGGTTTGATACATCTGTGTCACATTACCGAGTTAGATACCCTGGTTTGATACCTGTGTCACACAACCGAGTTAGATACCCTGTTTTGATACCTGTGTCACATAACCGAGTTTGATACCCGTGTTTGTAACATGTGTAACACAACCGAGTTAGATACCCTGGTTTGATACATCTGTGCCTCATAACCGAGTTAGATACCCGTGTTTGTTACATGTGTAACACAACCGAGTTAGATGCCCGGGTGTGATACATCTGTGTCACATTACCGAGTTAGATACCCTGGTTTGATACCTGTGTCACACAACCGAGTTAGATACCCTGTTTTGATACCTGTGTCACATAACCGAGTTTGATACTCGGGAATGATACCTGTGCGCCGCACAACCGAGTGAGATACCCGAGTTTGATGCTTCTATGCAACATAACCGAGTTAGATACCCTGGTTTGATAACTGTGTCACATAACCGAGTTTGAAAGCCGGATTGGATACCTGTGTAACATAACCGAGTTAGATACTCGGGTATGATACCTCTGTGTCACGTAACCGAGTGAGATACCCGAGTTTGATACTTCTATGCCACATAACCGAGTTAGATACACGGGTATGATACCTGTGTGCCACATAACTGAGTTAGATACCCTGGTTTGATAACTGTGTCACATAACAGGATTAAATTTCCGGGTTTGATACCTCTGTGTAACACAACCGAGTTTTGATACCTGTGTGCCTCATAACCGAGTTAGATACACGGGTATGATACCTGTGTGCCACATAACTGAGTTAGATACCCTGGTTTGATAACTGTGTCACATAACAGGATTAAATTTCCGGGTTTGATACCTCTGTGTCACACAACCGAGTTTGATACCTGTGTGCCCCATAACCGAGTTAGATACACGGGTATGATACATGTGTCACACAACCGAGTTAGATACTCGGGTATGATACCTGTGTGTCACACAACCGAGTGGGATACCCGAGTTTGATACTTCTATGCCACATGACCGAGTTAGATACTCGGGTATGATACCTGTGTGTCACATAACCGAGTTTGAAACCCGGGTTTGATACCTGTGTCACAAAACCAGGATAGAGACCCGGGTTTGATGCCTGTGTGTCACATTACCGAGTTTGAAACCCGGGTTTGATACCCTTGTGCCACACAGAGACCATATACCGTGTATGGTCTCTGTGTCACATAACCGAGTTTGAAACTTGCGTTTGAAACCTGAAAGAATATCGTGACCTGTAGCCTCACCAGTAAATAAAATTTCCAACGATTTAATTTCTCAAACAAATGTTTTTACCCAAGTTGTAATGCTACCTGCACATACATCGTGTGCGTGCAGGGTTGCGTGCACGCGATAACTAGCTTAGATGCTGAGCATTCGATAACAATGCGTACGTTACAGATAGTTGGATCACGAGCACTTCAGGAGACAGGTTTGTTATGTTGGAGTATTTACATTATTGATCACAGGGACATACACACCAGTAATTGTAGAAGTAACGTGATTATTGATATCTGCACAGGAAACAGAAGCCGATTACAAATCTGAAACGTTTTAATATCTAAGATGCATCGAAATCGGAATCCGGAGAATGTTTAGTTACCGCGTTCCCTGTTTCATTATGTACGGTTTCCATACAAAGTGGAAGAGATATTTTGATGCAGTTGATTGTTAATATCGCAACATCTAATACCCGACAACGTATGCTCTGCTAGTTATATTCCGACTCCGTTGTAGTGTTAAATGCATGGTAGCAGATGTTTGTTTTTTCTGGTGAAATCAGGTGTTTATCTCATTAAGTGACCTGACATGTTGGTATTTGATGATGGCGCAGCTATGAGCGAAACTGTCAACACTTCCAGGCCACGGGAAGAGATAAAGACGTTGTTTGACGAGGAAAGCCAAGTGCTTTTAGATTATTTATTACGTATTTGCTCAATGATCTATCGTCGCAGTCAAAGGTAGTTCCGGCATTGAGTATCATTTCAATCGAGTGGATGATGATGTTGCAATGTTGTAGTCCTGTATATAGGGTTGAAAACTACAGATGATAAAACATACCATGGAATACCCCACAACGTATACTATGTTGCAATGTTGTAGTCCTGTATATAGGGTTGAATACTACAGATGATATAACATACCATGGAATACCCCACAACGTGTACTATGTTGCAATGTTGTAGTCCTGTATATAGGGTTGAATACTACAGATGATATAACATACCATGGAATACCCCACAACGTGTACTATGTTGCAATGTTGTAGTCCTGTAATAGGGTTGAATACTCAAGAATATATAACATACAATGGAATACCCCACAACGTATACTATGTTGCAATGTTGTAGTCCTGTATATAGGGTTGAATACTACAGATGATATAACATACCATGGAATACCCCACAACGTGTACTATGTTGCAATGTTGTAGTCCTGTAATAGGGTTGAATACTCAAGAATATATAACATACAATGGAATACCCCACAACGTATACTATGTTGCAATGTTGTAGTCCTGTATATAGGGTTGAATACTATAGATGATATAACATACCATGGAATACCCCACAACGTATACTATGTTGTAATGTTGTAGTCCTGTATATAGGGTTGAATACTACAGATGATATAACATACCATGGAATACTCCACAACGTATACTATGTTGTAATGTTGTAGTCCTGTAACAGCGTTGGATAAATGTGTTGTATTAGCATACATGGTACCGCATAAGAAATCTACATACCACCTGATACTTTCGATTCTTTCGATATAGAGGGTCGTCTTCATCGATAGGACTATAACAGGGAATGGGATGGGATCATGGGTTCGTCATATCAGTATATTCGATACAGAGGGGGGTCTTATTGAATCAGTTCATAAACAACTTTTAGGGATGGGAATACATGTTCGACATACGGGTACGGTCGAGATAACCGAGTTGGAGGTTCGGCTGTATTTGTCGTCACAATCTCGAGCCTTACCCATCAAAGCGTGCACTGACAACAGTAATTGAAGGAGAATCTCCCCGGAGTGTTCCATCATACAAACAAAAGGAATTAACGGAAATGAATTAAAAATATATAGCTCTAGACTGGATACCAATGATTGGCATGTCGAAACATATGCAGGCATCAGCAAATTCATGCGGTAATTGAAACCAAATGTTGGCATATGACATGAACGTTCTTCTTTCGTGTCAACGTGTATATATCATAGCTGTGTTGAGGTAGAATATGTCAGGTTTTGTTTGATAGACATGTAAATAGAACCGGTGACGTAGTCAAAATATTATTCAGATAGAATGACACTGAAAAGCAGGCTAATAATATATAAGTATTTTTAAACAGACATATGAGTTTGTTTGACTTACCCGGCGCCCTTATGGAGTGTTGAAATGTATTGACTGGTGTTCGCTCGCCGTGAGCCTGTGTGGAGCTCTACCGAGAGCCGCGCTTAGTACACCCACTCAACCTCGATCAATACTCTCATCAGCGCGTGTACAACCGCCGTGAATAGTAAATATTGTACCAGGGTGCATCGACACGATAGGTGAAATACTTTATTATCAATTTTACAAAAGACTGCATGTATGCACAGGGATTTTTTGCAGTCGGCGAAACAACTGGGTTGTACTTCGTTACGTGTTTTTTATCGAAGTTGCCTACAGGCTGCGCGGAGTCGTTTGAGTCACGTGACCATGGCCCCGTCTGATTTTATATCACGGCAAACAAATACCCCTCGACTTGAATCGTTTTTTAGCGTCACTTGGGCTGTTGCAACGGGAATGCTAAGTGATACGAAAATCTGCGTCACGTGACAGTGAAACCGATAGATATACAGTGTCAAGTTTAATCTAATTTATGATAAAGCCAACAGTATGTTGCAAACGGCCTGTAAAAATCTCAAGTCAAAATTGGTGTACACGAAAACACCATAACGTTATCAGTATGTATGGAACTCATAACGCGGTTTTAGTTATTGAATATACTATTATTTATCATTTTAAAGTGACAGATATACTGCTTCCGAAAAGTTAAGGACATCGGGTGGGTGAAAGGGGGGTCAGCGTGGCGTTCAGGATTACTGGACTTATATCGCGAGGTGCATGGACGTGTGTGTGTGTGTGTGTGTGTGTGTGTGTGTTTGAGGGGCTGTGGCTGTTTGTACTAGTCAGGATTTATGCAGGTTTGTATAGTGCTACCCCACTGAGATGCCATGCCGCAGAGGGTCCTGGTGAGAGATGGTCCTGGTGAGAGATGGTCCTGGTGAGAGATGGACCTGGTGAGAGATGGTCCTGGTGAGAGATGGTCCTGGTGAGAGATGGTCCTGGTGAGAGATGGACCGGGTGGGAGATGGTCCTGGTGAGAGATGGACCTGGTGAGAGAGGGTCCTGGTGAGAGATGGTCCTGGTGAGAGATGGTCCTGGTGAGAGATGGTCCTGGTGAGAGATGGACCGGGTGGGAGATGGACCGGGTGGGAGATGGACCGGGTGGGAGAGGGTCCGGGGGAGAGATGGACCGAGTGGGAGATGGTTCGGGTGAGAGATGGTTCGGGTGAGAGATGGACCGGGTGGGAGAGGGTCCGGGGGAGAGATGGACCGAGTGGGAGATGGACCGGGTGGGAGATGGACCGGGTGAGAGATGGACCGGGTGAGAGATGGACCGGGTGGGAGAGGGACCGGGTGAGAGATGGACCGGGTGAGAGATGGACCGGGTGAGAGATGGACCGGGTGGGAGAGGGACCGGGTGGGAGATGGACCGGGTGGGAGAGGGTCCGGGTGAGAGATGGACCGTGTGGGAGAGGATCGGGGTAGGAGAAAGTCCGGGCCAAAGAGGGTCCGGGCCAGAGAGGGTCCGGGTGAGAGATAGTCCGGGTGAGAGAGGGTCCAGGCGAGTGGGGGTCCGGGTGAGAGATAGTCCGGGTGGGAGAAGGTCCGGGTGGGAGAGGATCGGGGTATGAGATAGTCCGGGTGAGAGAGGGTCCAGACGGAAGATGGTCCGAGTAAGTCACTCAAATTTCTTTGCACGTGTTTGTGACGGGCGAGAGAGGGTCCTGGTGGGAGATGGACCGGGTGAGAGAGGGTCCTGTAGAGAGAGGGTCCTGGTGAGAGATGGACCGGGTGAGAGAGCGACCGGGTGAGAGAGGGACCGGGTGAGAGAGGGTCCGGGTGAGAGAGGGACCGGGTGAGAAATAGTCCGGGCGAGAGAGGATCGGGGTAAGAGATAGTCCTGGTGGGAGAGGGTCCTGGTTAGAGATGGACCGGGTGAGAGAGGGTCCGGGTGAGAGAGGGTCCGGGTGAGAGAGGGTTCGGGTGGGAGAGGGTCCGGGTGGGAGAGGTTGCGGATGAGAGAGGATCCGGGTGGGAGATAGTCCGGGTGAGAGAGGGTCCTAGTGAGAGATAGTCCGGGTGGGAGAGAATCGGGGTATGAGATAGTCCGGGCGAGAGATGGTCCGGGCGAGAGAGGATCTGGGTGAGCGAGGATCAGGGTGGGAGATAGCCCGGGTGAGAGATGGTCCTAGTGAGAGATAGTCCGGGTGGGAGAGAATCGGGGTATGAGATAGTCCGGGCGAGAGAGGGTCCGGGTGAGAGATAGTCCGGGTGAGCGAGGGTCCGGGTGGGAGAGGGTCCGGGTGAGAGAGGGTCCAGACGGAAGATCACCCAAATGTCTTTGCACGTGTTTGTGACGGGTGCCACCCTTGGGACACACAGTATCATCACGTTTTGATTGTGATAAATGCTCAAGATATGGTCGGATTCGTACAATGGACTGTGCATTTAGCAGATATTTCTTATGACTATGGAAAGGGTTTTGTCGCTTTAATTCTCTTGCACGTTAACATAATAATAACATTGATTAACAAAAACAGAGCAGCGATAAACCCAACTCACTCATAGATGTCAGCTAACTAACGTTCTGCATGGAGGTGTATATATTGTTGCAGCCTCTTCTATGGAATACTACAAGGGACACTGTCGCGTTCTCGCACAATTTAACGTCTTGTCGCGTTGTCCCATTGACTCAATGTCGCGCTTTGGGTAATTTTGACAATTTTGGCTTGGCGACAATCCGACAACGCGACAATGCCCCTTGTTGTATTCCATACTCCTCTCCCCTTCAGTGATTCCACTTACAATACATGCATTTAGTTCCCCACCGCATTGTCGAAAACCTTATTTGTTCACGGATGTGCTAACAACAGTCAAACATCAATATAATGATTTCTCTATCTGGAATATCAACTTGAATGCAAAACACAATTTTCAGATTCAAGCATTTATTTATATTGATAATTTTCTTTTCTTACATATATTTTCATAATATATATACTGACGGGCAAAAGAAAGTATACACCCATGTCTTTCCCGGCAGTTTATATATCGTTTGTCACGCTCGTAATTTTTACTTTGATTTTTATATTTGTTTATTAACGAACTGCAGAAAAAAACTCATATTATATGTACAATGAAAACTTGTTTGTCCGGAAACCGCACCTTTCAGACGATTGCTGTAAGGAGTGTTTACATATACATTTCCGTATTCCCGGGGAAAAAAATACGGGGATTGTCAGCGCGTGTTGACATCAATGAAGACTTTGAATGATGAGGATAAAGTTACTTTGGTTGTTGACTTCAGTATACACTTCCGCAAAACCCAATCCGGGTTAGAATTGATCTTCAGCACCCATGCTTGTCCTTAGAGGCGGTTAACGGGATCAGGTGGTCAGGCTTGCTGACTTGTTTGATGCATGTCGTATCCCAATTGTGTAGGTCGATGCTCATGATGTCAATCACTGGCTTGTCTGGTCCAGACTCTATTACTTACAGACCGCCGTCTTTTAGCTGAAATATTGCTGAGTGCGGCGTTAAACAACAAACAAGCAAAGTTACAAGTATAGACAATGGATTTCGATTAGTCTGTTTCTGGTTGAAGGTAGGGGGCAGTTTGCATTCACACTTTTTTGTTTACAACCCTGACATTACTGCACCTATCTCATTCTCAACGGCAATACATATTAGATAAAGCCAAACACCGTTTGAGTCGAAGTTAAAGAGACCTACTTACGTCCTTCAAGTTTTCCGAGGTTCGACACAACCCGAAATAAATGTTAAAAAAAGAAAGAATACAGGGGGAAAGAAGGCGACCATGCTTTTACTTTGAGACAACCGTAAGTTCGACACATCAAAGTTCGACACAACGTCGTTTGGCTGTATAATTTTCAAGAATATTTAACAATGTCATTGTGCATGTTCTGAAATAATTATACTTGAGTGAGCACTTTGATAAAACGTACATAAACACAGTCATCTGTAGGCATACTACATTTCGAGTTCTCAGAGCTTGTTTCTGCGGAGGGATTCCAGGACAAAACAGGTTTCCTACATCTAATACTTGCCTCTCCGTGGGGATTCCGATGCAGAATTCACCCCAAGCCCCCAAGGGCTCTCTTTTTTTTGTGATTCTGAGAGAGACAGGTCGATCCATGCTTGTAAAAATCAAAAGATTACAATTTGTGAGTTGATTGTATGCCATCGTCTCCACACGTCATGAATCGTTGTTCATGCTATTAGCCACTGGTCCGCCTGGCTTAGATTGAATAATTTACGGTGGCTGATTGGAAAGTAGTATTTCTAAATGTGGCGTAAAACAACACTCACTCACTTGAGGAGAGGCGTTACAAGAATTTTTTATGACCGTTTTTCGCACCACATTCATTCCCTCGCTTACATATGCCAATAACTATGAAATTCCAGATGGGAAATGGCGTTATTGCCCTCACAAACCATGAAAGTGAAATATAGATTTCATATTAAGTGTCCTTCACAAAACAAAGCAAAGAGTGACGAAGTTACCAAAAACCGCGACATTGCAACATTTTACCATTATCGCATTGTCCCGCTTTGCTTATTTTATTTTATTTTACCAAATGGCGACAACGCGACTATTGCCCTTTAATGATTCCATAGACCGCCTCTGACACTACGAACGTAATTATAATGCTCAGTACATTACATCGTGTCATACTTTGCAATGACAGAATACATTCGATGGTTCAGCAACATTATTATCTTATAATAACGTGTTCACACGGCCTGCTTGCTATCGTTCTTTTCAAGTGCAACGGTCCGTTGAAAATAAGATGTCTCCAGTACATGATTGTTCATGAGTACACACGACCTTAAAGTTATGTCAGTGCAGCTGAATTCTTGACATGCTTTGCCACTTGCAACATTTTCATGTGGGGGTATTCAGTCCATGAAGTGTGTGTGTGTAGTAGTAGTAGTAGTAGTAGTAGTAGTAGTAGTGTAGTATTTGTTGCGTCATAATGACTATGATGTAAGAGTGACAATAGAGGGATAAGTAAAACGTACATGTAGTCCTAGGCAACAGCCAACGTTATGCTTTTGACGTCATAACATTATATATACACATATGAGTTGAACAAAACGGCAACCAGAGCACAGATGCAATCAGGCATCAGTTCTATACAACACACAATAATGTCATGAATTATTCAAATCAATATGCAGAC